CCTATTTTGACTCTTCAAAATTCAAGAGTCTATCCTTAATTGAGGTAAATTATATGGCCTTCCAAATACCATTTCGATTCCTAACATCACTGAAGAGACATTAATTGTCAAAATCCGGATATGGTGTACAAATTTTTGCACCTCATGTTTGCTGTATACCATTTTTTCCGCACGTTTATTGTTTTCTGTTTGGTTATAAATTATTATAAGATCCATTTTGTTACATCTGGTGATCCGTTTATTTGGCAATCGCCAATGTCAGTCAGCAGGGTTTAAGAACATCAGTTGTTCGACCTGCTAGTCAAATGCGTTTTGTTAAAATATACTTTTTCACTTTTTTGGTCTTTTGGAAAATGTTGTTTGTGCTGTATTTAGACCCCTCTGCCAAGAATTTGTTTTGCATGCACACGTATAAAAATTGCGGTTTTTATCAAACGCAATCATAGGTTTGAACGTTGTTTTCAATTTAGACTTGTTTATATTTTTTCATTTGGGCTTGTATTATATTTGCCTTCGGGTTTATATGATCCGTTCATCCTATTTCGACTCTTTCAAAATTCAAGAGTCTGTACTAAATTGAGGTTAATTATATGGCCTTCCAAATACCGTTTCGATTCCTAACATCACTGAAGAGACATTAATTGTCGAAATCCGGATATGGTGTACAAATTTTTGCACCTCATGTTTGCGGTATACCATCTTTTCCGCACGTTTATTGTTTTCTGTTTGGTTATAAATTATTATAAGATCCATTTTGTTACATCTTGTGATCCGTTTATTTGGCAATCGCCAATGGCAGTCAGCAGGGTTTAAGAACATCAGTTGTTCGACCTGCTAGTCAAATGCGTTTTGTTAAAATATACTTTTTCACTTTTTTGGTCTTTTGGAAAATGTTGTTTGTGCTGTATTTAGACCCCTCTGCCAAGAAATTTGTTTTGCATGCACACGTATAAAAATTGCGGTTTTTATCCAACGCAATCATAGGTTTGAATGTTGTTTTCAATTCAGACTTGTTTATATTTTTTCGTTTGGGCTTGTATTATATTTGCCTTCGGGTTTATATGATCCGTTCATCCTAATTTGACTCCTCAAAATTCGAGAGTCTATCCTAAATTGAGGTAAATTACATGGCCTTCCAAATACTGTTTCGATTCCTAACATCACTGAAGAGACATTAATTGTCGAAATCCGGATATGGTGTACAAAAATCTTTGCACCTTTGTTTGCGGTATACCATCTTTGCTGCACGTTTATTGTTTTCTGTTTGGTATTAAATTTTTAATTAAGATCCATTAATTACACCTTGTAATCCGTTTATTTGGCAATTGCCAATGGCAGTCAGCAGGGTTTTAGAACATTTGTTGTTCGACCTGTTAGTCAAATGCGTTTTGTTAAAATATTCTTTTTCACTTTTTTGGTCTTTTGGAAAATGTTGTTTGTGCTGTATTTAGACCCCTCTGCCAAGAAATTTGTTTTGCATGCACACGTATAAAAATTGCAGTTTTTATCCAACGCAATCATAGGTTTGAATGTTGTTTACAATTTAGACTTGTTTATATTTTTTCATTTGGGCTTGTATTATATTTGCCTTCGGGTTTATATTATCCTTTCATCCTAATTTGACTCGTCAAAATTCGAGAGTCTATCCTAAATTGAGGTAAATTACATGGCCTTCCAAATACTGTTTCGATTCCTAACATCACTGAAGAGACATAAATTGTCGAAATCCGGATATGGTGTACAAAAATCTTTGCACCTTTGTTTGCGGTATACCATCTTTGCCGCACGTTTATTGTTTTCTGTTTGGTTATAAATTTTTAATTAAGATCCATTTATTACACCTTGTGATCCGTTTATTTGGCAATTGCCAATGGCAGTCAGCAGGGTTTAAGAACATTTTTTGTTCGACCTGTTAGTCAAATGCGTTTTGTTAAAATATACTTTTTCACTTTTTTGGTCTTTTGGAAAATGTTGTTTGTGCTGTATTTAGACCCCTCTGCCAAGAAATTTGTTTTGCATGCACACGTATAAAATGACGGTATTTATCCAACACAATCATAGGTTTGAACGTTGTTTTCAATTCAGACTTGTTTATATTTTTTCGTTTTGGCTTGTATTATATTTGCCTTCGGGTTTATATGATCGGTTCATCCTAATTTGACTCCTCAAAATTCGAGAGTCTATCCTAAATTGAGGTAAATTACATGGCCTTCCAAATACTGTTTCGATTCCTAACATCACTGAAGAGACATTAATTGTCGAAATCCAGATATGGTCTACAAAAATCTTTGCACCTTTGTTTGCGGTATACCATCTTTTCCGCAAGTTTATTGTTTTCTTTTTGGTATTAAATTTTTAATTAAGATCCATTTATTACACCTTGTGATCCGTTTATTTGGCAATCACCAATGGCAGTCAGCAGGGTTTAAGAACATTTGTTGTTAGACCTGTTAGTCAAATGCGTTTTGTTAAAATATACTTCTTCACTTTTTTGGTCTTTTGGAAAATGTTGTTTGTGCTGTATTTAGACCCCTCTAACAAGAAATTTGTTTTTGCATGCACACGTATAAAAATTGCGGTTTTTATCCAACACAATCATAGGTTTGAACGTTGTTTTCAATTTAGACTTGTATATATATATATATGTATATAGAAGTCTATAAAAAGGACCAACCAGCAAATTTACTATGTACCGGATCGTCTAGAATAGACGATACTGTGCAGATAAGGAAAAAAATTATATAAGTCTAGAGATTTGCACAACGATACTAATATAAGATGGTATTATACGAAGATGTTGTTAATAAATCGTGTTGACAAATACTTCGGCTTAACAAATAGCCTTCTTCGGTGTCAATTATTTTAACAATATTAACAGTATTGTTAAAATAATTGACACCGAAGAAGGCTATTTGTTAAGCCGAAGTATTTGTCAACACGATTTATTAACAACATCTTCGTATAATACCATCTTATATTAGTATCGTTGTGCAAATCTCTAGACTTATATATATATATATATATATATATAGTATTAATTATACAGTAATTTTTATACGACCGCAAAAAAATTTTTGTGGTCGTATATTGGTATGACGTTGGCGTCGTCGTCGTCCGAAGACACATTAGTTTTCGCACTCTAACTTTAGTTTAAGTGAATGGATCTCAATGAAATTTTACCATAAGGTTCAATACCACAAAAGGAAGGTGGGGATTGATTTTGGGGGTTATGGTACCAACAGTTAAGGAATTAGGGGTCAAAAAGGGGCCAAAAATAAGCATTTTTGTAACTTCCAGACATAACTTGTGTGTAAGTGTATGGATCTCTCTGACATTGTACCACAAGGTTCCATATCACAAAGGGAATGCGTGGATTGATTTTGGGGGTAATTGCCTCCAAATTTTAGGAATTAGGGGCCAAAAAGGGGCAAAAAACAAGCATTTTTCTAGTTTCATGACAATAACTTGTGTGTAAGTCTATGGATCTCTCTGACATTGTATCACAAGGTTCCATATCACAAAGGGAATGCTGGGATTGATTTTGGGGGTAATTGCCTCCAAATTTTAGGAATTAGGGGCAAAAAAGGGGCAAAAAACAAGCATGTTTCTAGTTTCATGACAATAACTTGTGTGTAAGTGTATGGATCTTTATGAAATTGTACTACAAGGTTCCATATCACAAAGGGAAAGCTGGAATTGAGTTTGGGCGTAATTGCCCAAATATTTTAGGTAAAAGGGGCCAAAAATAAGCATTTTTCTAGTTTCCAGACAATAACTTGTGTTCAAGTGTATGGATCTCTCTGAAATTGTACTGCAAGGTACCATACCACAAAGGGAAGGCTGGGATTGATTTTGGGGGTAATTCCCTCAAAATTTTAGTAATTAGGGGCCATAAAAGGGCAAAAAAACAAGCATTTTTCTAGTTTCAGGACAATAACTTGTGTGTAAGTGTATGGATCTTTATGAAATTGTACTGCAAGGTTCCATATCACAAAGGGAAAGCTGGGTTTGAGTTTGGGGGTAATTGCCCTAAACGTTTAGGAATTTGGGGGTAATTGCCCTAAACGTTTAGGAATTTGGGGCCAAAAAGGGGCCAAAAAACAAGCATTTTTCTAGTTTCCAGACAATTACTTGTTTTCAAGTGTATGGATCTCTCTAAAATTGTACTGCAAGGTATCATACCACAAAGGGAAGGCTGGGATTGAGTTTGGGGTGATGAATCATAAGGGGGTTCAAAAAATTTGGGGTTTTTTTTTTTTCTTTTTTTTTCTTTAAAATTTTCCATTTTAAATTGGTTATTTCTGATTTATATATAAAAGCAAATAATAATGATATGGTTTGAATAGGTAAATTAAAAATTTTTAAGTTCTTAGACCACTTTCATTCTGTGTCAGAAACCTATGCTGTGTCAAATATTTAATTACAATCCAAATTCAGTGCTGTATCAAGCTTCAATGTTGTGTCCATACTTGCCCCAACTGTTCAGGGTTCGACCTCTGCGGTCGTATCAAGCTGCGCCCCAGCAGAGCATTTTATTAAGATATATTACATTAAAGATAAATGATAAAATAACTATACTCCATACCAGATGGTGTTTGTGATTTTTATGAAATTTTGTATGCATTTAGAACTCTTTGAACTGCATCTAAATATGTAATAATTAATATACTGTGAATTCATTATTATTCGTGGGATACTTATTTTTGTGGGTACACACGAACCACGAATTTAAATTGTCAACTAAGTACATATTTTCTATAGGTTTGAATGCAGACTCAAGTAAAACCACGAAATTAAATATCCACCAAAATACAATTTTCCTTAATGAGCCTAAATCATTTCATATTTTCAAGAACATTGGAGTTTTTAAGGACCATTTTATAAAGATATTTTTACATAAAAGATTTAGAAGAAGCTGTATAGATATGAATCAGTTGTTGAAAGTAGTTTCCATAGAATATTAATTTAAATTAGTATCTAACACAAGAAATATATTTCAGATGTTGGAGAAACACAAAGCGAGTTTAGAAGATTTAAATCAGCTGTTGAAAGTAGATCCTAAAAATACAGCAGCTAAAAAAGAAATGGATTTAGTGAAGGCTTTATGGAGAGAGGTAGATACTAGATATTCATTACACAAGCAAAAAAAATATCAAAATAAAATGTCTTTGAGAACAGGAAAGAATTTAATGACCAAAATAGGTTTTCTCTAATCTGTAAAATATCCATGAACATTGTTGTGGCGAAATAAATTTTAATTGCAACATTCAATCAGTTTTTAAAATAATTGGAAAAAATTATCCATGACGTTAATGACATTTTATCCATTGAATTTTTATAGAATTCAGAAAACTCCTGATACTTTAAATATTAAAAAAATGAAAGCAAATATAAAGCGATGTAGGAGATGCATGAATTAGTACTCATCTAAACCTGTGTTTTTAACTTATAGGAATTTAATTCCTTAAAGAAACAGATGGGGAAACCTGCTGAAAACAAGCCAAGGAAGAGGATAGTTATTGAAGAAACAGACTCAGATTCTGAGGAGGAAGGTTAGATCAATATATTATAAACATGACAAAATAAAGACGATTTCTAAGGCATTTTTCAATTTTCAATTGAAATTAAGTTTCATATAAAAAAAATTCATGATGTTTGTAAAAGGTGAGACAGCCATTCATATTGTCAATCTGTAGGTTTATTGTATTGCTAAACAGCATTCAGCTGAAACAACACGCAAGAATCGCTCGCAATGTTGTGGGCATCACACTTTTTGAATCAGCAACTCTTTAAAAATGGCTCGACAGTGTTCGGGACATGAAGCTGCGCTCCTGCTGTTTTAATTTTTAATCTGGTTGATTTTGGGGATTTCCATACAAAAACATAGACTAAACAATTTCTGCTTATATCAGTTTGTAAATCTGCAACTCATTGAAAACCAATTGACAGAATTCCACCACATATTCTTCTGCATGACATGATGGTGTGAACCTGTTATTTAAATTTTGATTACAAGTGATTTTTTGGGTTTTCCATACTTAACACTGGACTTGACAGTTTCTGCTTATATTATTTTTGAGACGACAGTTGACACACACTTTCATTGGAAGATCTCAACATTTTTGTCTCACCTCAACACACACTCTCTATTATGGTTCATTGACACTAGAATTTTTGCATTGTTTACATGTTAAAAATTGTGATTAGGTCAGTTTAAGAGAAAGCACTTATGACAAGTAAATCATATTAGGTATGCAGTTGTATTATCATTAGCATATCTCTTTTCAGTTGAGATTATTTGGCCCTGAATCTTCAGTCATGGTTCAATGACTTTGGATGTTTTGCATAGTTAACAAAGTATTTTAAGTGAAAGTATTACCATTTTAATATTAGAATATGCATTTTATTATCAAAAAAACATACCAACAAGTCATATCTCTGTGTCAACAGTTTATTAGTTGCATTAATTATAGAATGTAATTTTAGAACTTCTATATATTTATAAAATTGTTATGGTTTTTCAGGTTCAAAAGACCAGCCTAAAGTATCCAAATCACCTAGTACATCAACAAAGGTAGACACAAAGATCGATAAACAGTCAGCTAAAAAGGGGTCTTCTTCAAAGCAGGAACAAAAAAGGACACTTGAAACAAAGTCAAAAGAAACAAAAACAGATTCAGAAAAATTCAAAGAGAAACAAAAGGAAAAGAAATCAACACAGCCTTCTAGTGGGATAAAGTCATCTACAATCAAGCCAACAAGTTTTGGATTGCCACAGTCTATTCCTAAGCTAGAGAAAGCCACACCATATGAATTTATAACAACCTGGAATTCATTAAAACAGTCAACAGATTTACAGCCATATGCTGATCTTCTGAGACAGATTCCACCAAAAGACCTCCCTAAAGGTATCACATTTTTCAGTTGTAAAACTTAAAAAGTAACAGATTTATTTTTTAAAACCAGAGATCAACCAAACTTGGAACTGTCTTCTCTATAGGAAGTAATTAAGTTGTGCACTCCAGTTTCAATGTTTTATCACATAGGTTTCTTGAGGTTCATAGAGCCATAACCATAGGTCTTTTAGTATTGACATTGCCTACAAAATAAAGTTAGCAAACATGAAGATACACAACATATTTTAAGTAAAATTTGTAATTCAACAATGATTTCATTATCTTTCAGTGATAAGCAATAAATTAGATGGAGGGATGCTGAGCAAAATAGCAAAATGTGTGGCTGAAAAGTTTACTGGTGAAGGTATGAATGAGTGTTAATGATTACTTTTACTAGTTGTAAATAATAGGGAGCAACCAAAGTTGTGACTCTTATGTTCAAGAAATGGGAACACTTGGAGAAAAACAGTTGTTATGACGACTGTTCCAAATCTATTTGTAATTTAACTTAAGTGTTGGGGTTGTATCTCTACAAGCAATCTAAATTATATTTTGTGACAGTTATCTGCAAAAAAGATATATCCCTATTAGCAGCTTGTTTCATTGTCTATAGTGATCTGTGATCAGTTTCACAATAAATCTTACTAGAAAAACACTCAAGATAAAAGTCATGAACATTTCAGTATCAATTTTTGTTGTAAGATTTTTTGTGAAAGGAGCCCCTAGCCCTAGAAAACATTGTTGTTAAATTCTTATTAATTAAAAAGATACCAAATTTAGTGGAAAAGTTTATTTATTGCATCAGTTTTGTAACTTTGAAAGATGTAGTCTTAAGATGAATTTGGTATAACTGGACAAACTTTCCCTTTCCAGTACTAATTAGTTGCATGCTGTTTGTCTCTACACAATCCAGACTTGAATGTTACTGATTATACTTAAATAGATGATTTAGATGATTTTGGAACAGGGCTTCCAAAAAATATTTGAGCCAGCCGGTCATTTTTTTTTGTCTTATCCCGATTTTAATCCCTTAAGACTTAATAACAAAAGGCAACAATAGTAATCAGTTGGGCATCATATGAATAATGATTGGCGCAAAAACGGCATTTGACTTGATTTTTAATATAAATTCGATGTTCTGGCGCTAACTGTTAAATTGACAGTGCACCATTCGAAATGTGCAACATCAACGGCTGCGTATTAATATCTGTCTAAGACTCTTTATTTGTGCAAAATTATGCTGTCAATAACTTCACTTTCGTTTTTAAAAAGTACTTTTCCTATTACCGGATGTTGACTTGATAATGGTAAAGCACGGACCAGAGACAGATACGTAAAATCCGTGTACATTTTCAAAGCAGGATTGAGTTTAAGTAGCTCTTTCCGCGTTATTTCTACAGGAAAAGACTCGAAATGAACGTTAGATATACATGATATAGTTATCAATGATATTTTTAGCATTTTTGAAAATGCGGATGCATAATTTAATCTCACACCTGTGCACATGGGCACGAGTGTACTAGTTCAAACAATGTGGTTCTGACGATTTTTCACTTAAAACCTTGATTACTACCTTTTTAAATTTTCATCAAATCATATTTATATACGTTTTCTGGTAATCTGAATCTTGTTGACTAAATTAATTCGATGCAAACCGCTGAAATTTAAGAAAATAACTTTTAATACTAGACCGATCAATTTCCGTTAAAAAAAAGTTTACCTGTCGCCTGAACAGGTAAAATCAGCTGTCAGAGAACTAATTAACCTTGATTGTAATGAGAGGGTTTGTTTTGATAGTAATTATTAATCATGTCACTTATATATATGACCGGAAATGTGTGGCTGTATAAGGCAAAAGGTCAGGTCAAAAAGATCGCATAAACTTCAATTTTTTTTCTGAACTATATTAAAATGTCCGTTTCAGCCTTGGCACAACAAGTCATTTATATAATTTATCGGACTTGTCCGGAAAATATGACCATTTTGGAAGCCCTGTTTTGGAACTAACCCTACACATTTAATAATGGTTAGATTATAATTTATTATTTGATGATCGTTAGTCCTTTTCTCTGGATCTTCAGTTTCAACCACAAAAACTGACAAAGTCACTTGAAACTTACATTTTTGTTATAGTATGTACAAGTGCTGCTTTTGTCATCTTTTCAAGTTCTTCCAAAAATTTGTTGATTATTCATACCCAGACAGTTTTTTTGGCCTTATTTATTATGCAGTTAAATTTTTTTGTCCCCACCCCCTTCACCACAAGTATGGTACCGGTAATTGTCTTCATCCTTCCGTCTGTCAATCTGTCTGAAACACATCAATACTCTGCAACCATTTGAAAAGCTTGTATTCATGGCAGGATTATTTGTCGTTATATTTTCATGACGGTGCTGTATAGTCAGTTAGATTTGACAATTTTTATTGGAGTAATTGGACTTGGACCATTTATTTTAGTATTGTAATAATGACACCTTGTAAACCCAACTCCTCTGAATCCATTGAACAGAAAGCTCTCATACTAAGTAGGAATGTTTGTTATCATTTGCTGTTGACCGTATTATATTGTCATTTTAATCTGGCTATTTTTATGGGAGTTATGGGACTATTATTTTGGAGTAATCTAGCAATAACAGTTACATTTTTGAAGTAATCTGATGTCAACAACATCTTGTGAATGAATCTCCTCTAAGACGGTTTTACAAAAAGCTCTCCTACGTGGTTAAGTTGTTTGCTATCATGTGTAGTTAACCATATTATACTGCCATTTTGACTTAACCATTTTAACAGAGGTTATAGGACTTTGACTATTTATTGGAGTATTTTGACTATAACACCTTGTGGTCACAACTCCTCTGAGACCATTTGACAGAAATCTCTCATAGTAGGATTGTTTGCCATCATGTTTAGTTGACTGCATTATACCTTCATATTGTTTTGATAATTTTTATGGGATTCACCATATCTTAACTATCACAGTGACGCAATTAAATTCCTCCTTTATACAGTGCTAGGGACATTTCACTTAATCTTGTTGGTGTTGCTGTTGCAGAAATAAAGATATAAATTGTCAACAATTTTATTATTTATCATGAATAAGAAATCCATAATTTTAACCATATAAGCTACGTCTTGAAATAAATTGTTAGCTGACTACTAACCTTTAATAATTTTAAAAACATATGTTAAATTCACCAGTTTTCTGGGATAATTTTTACGTAATGTTTTTGATCTTTTTTGTAGATGATCTGTCAACAAGTTATCAGATTTTGATGAACGTGAGCAAGGTGCCCAGATTTGATACAATTGCCATGTTCATGTCTAAAGAAGAAAAGAAAGGTACTTTTATAAAATCTTTCATGTAGTGAAAATGTTCCACTGAATGTCATATTCACACATAAGTCAGTGAGTGCATTGAATGCTATACTTTCTTTTATTATTATTACATTTCTTGTGTGGCGGTATAATGTTTTTGCCATGTCAGCCCTGCCATCTTTTTGTTGTGTCCATGCTTATGTCTTTATTTTTATGTCTGACCCTCTTCAAATTTGGATGAAGATTTCTACTAATCAAAATTGATTAATTAATTATGGGATTTGTATTTAATGAACATAATAAAGTTGTCTGTGCCAAAGGTTTTGAAATTTTTATATTTGCGCTTAGGCCAGAATTATTAGTGAAAATGTATTCCTGGTTATCCTGGTAATTAGTAAAATCTTTGAAAAATAACCATGGGAAATTAAAAGTTGAATCATAAGTTACATTATAAATGTAAACTTATGGTGACCTGTAGCTGTTAACATCCTTGTCCTTTGGTCTTTGTTGGACAGTTGTCTCAATGACAGTCATACAACAACTCCTTATTCTTATATTGACTAATGGTGTAGGGATTTTCATGCAACCCCAGGGGGCATGTCCTTGAACTCCTCTCACACAATATGAGATACGATAATGAAAATTGGTATGTTTATAAAACAATTAGAGATGTCTATTTCCAATGTTAAGGAATTTTTATGTTATCCAGTAATTGGTGAAATATTATATGTATATTGTGAAAGAAGTTGATACTTGAATCATAGCTTACATTATAAATAAGAATGAAGCAGATGATGTTGAAATTTTTCTATGGGACTGGAGGCATGGTATTTTTGATTTGATACTATCAACATACACTGGCACTCTGGTATATGCAGTATGGATGCCATTTTTATGTCATATATTGTTATCACATCGTCGTCAGCGTTGTCCGGAGACATTTGGTTTCTGGATAATGACTTTAGTCAGTGGCGGATCCAGAAATTTTCATAAGGAGGGGCCTACTGACTGCCTAAGAGGGGGCCCGCTCAAGTCATGCTTCAGTGATTCCCTATATAATCAATCAAATGTTTCCCACAAAAGGGGGGCCCAGGGCCCCCCTCTAAATCCGCCTCTGTTAGTAAATGTAAATAGAAATCTATGAAATTTAAACACAAGGTTTATAGCCACAAAAGGAAGGTTGGGATTGATTTTAGGGGTTATAGTCCAAACAGTTTAGGAATTAAGGGCCAAAAAGGGGCCCAAAAAAGCATTTTTTCTAGTTTCCAGACAATGACTTGTGGAACGGTGTATGGATCTCTCTGAAATTATACCACAAGTTTCCATACCACAAAGGGATGGTTAGGATTGGCTTTGGGGGGTTATGGCTCAAACCGTTTAGGAATTAGGGGCAAAAAAAGGGGAAAACAATGGTTTCCTGGTTAATGGACAATTAAAAAAAAGTACAATGTTATGTTTGGATTACCTCCCTTACACTACTTTTAAATTATGTATAAAGAAATGTTGTATTGTCTTAAAAAGAAAATTTCTTCAAATAATTTTTTTTTTTTGAGGGGGGGGTCAATTAGCAACAGCATAGTGTATTGCACAAAAGCAAAAAAATTGAATATAAATTCAAATCATATAACCAATTCTAAGTTCTTTGACTACAGTTATTCTGTGTCAAATATTTAATTACAATCTCAATTCAAGCGTGAATATTGTGTCCATTTTTGCTCGAACTGTTCAGGGTTGGACCTCTGTGGTCGTATCCAGCTGTGCTCGGCGAAGCAATTTATTCATTTTGAAATGCAGAATTGTAAGGTACTGTTTTGAGCAATCTAATATATATATTTTTTTTAATGACAAATATATCTGGCATTTTATCATTTTTGACAAAATTACTGACATCAAGGGAAACACTGGCCATCTTTTCCCCCAAGACCTTTTCTATCAAGCTCTTTGATTGATCATTAGTATACAGAGAGTTTTAGGTGTAGTTTGTCTTTCATATTGGATGACATAATTGTCAGTGAATTACAGCCCTTGGATTTAGAAAATTTTATGAAAAATACATTTGTTGTGACATTTATCATTATGCTTGTACATATTAAGCTGATTCTTAGGTTCATTATATAATGGTAGATTGATGAGTTATAAATAGAGTTTGCATTTTGATACAGAAGTCATTACTTTCTTGGAATTGTTGCCCTTGAGAAAATTTCAAGAAAAGTGTATTTATATTTTGACTTTTTGTCTCGCCTTGACGGCATCGGCAGCGACGGCGGCGGCGGCGTCAACAATGTATTAGTTTGTGATTAGGTCTAGTTCATGGTAAACCACTAGTGGTAGGTCAATGATATTTGGTATGCAGTTGTATTAGAATTGGCACATCTCATTACCATGTAGATTATTTGGCCCTGCCCCCTCAGTCAAGGTCTATTGATTTTGAAACTTTCATAGTTTACATGTATTAGTTTGTGACTAGGTCAATTTATTGGAAACCACTAGTGGTAGGTCAATGATATTTGGTATGCAGTTGTATAAGCATTGGCATATCTCATTTCCATGGAGATTATTTGGCTCCGCCCCGTTAGTCATGGTCTATAGACTTTGAAAATTTTGCTAAGTTAACATGTATTAGTTTGTGATTAGGTCAGTTCAAGGGGAACCATTAGTGGCAGGCCAATGTTAATTGGTGTTCAGTTGTATAAGCATTAGCACATCTCATTTCCATGGGGAATATTTGGCCCCGCCCCCTCAGTCATGGTCTATTGACTTTGAAACTTTTGCTTTGTTTACATGTATTAGTTTGTGATTAGATCATTTAAGATGAACTGCTAATGTTAAGTCAATGATATTTGGTATGCAAATGTATTGGCATTTGCAAGTATCGTTTCCATGGAGATTATATAGCCCCACCCCTGATCATGGTTCATTGACTTTGAAACTTTTACATAGTTTACAAGTTAATGTTTGTGTTTAGGTTTGTTTAAAGGGAACGACTTATAATAAGTTAATGGTATTTGGTATGCAGTTGTATTAGCATTGGCACATCTCATTCCATGGAGATTGTTGAGCCATGTACCTTCAGTCATGGTTCATCGACTTTGAATATTTGCATAACTTACATGTTAAAGTATTGCTATTTTAAACATTTGCATTATCAAAATTACAAAAAGGCGAGACTTATCTCTGTGATAACAGTTTATTTGTTTCTACATATTGAGTAGATTTTTGTTCATTGTATATTATGTGGAGTTTCATTTTTGGTAGCATATTTATTTTAATTTATAAAAAGTGTATTTGTTGGGACTATGGCTTCAGATGGGGGCATTCATGTGATCCTGACACATCTTGTTGATCTATTTGACCTTCAAAAAATATAAAAATTTACTGCAAAATGAATGAAATAATATCATAGGTAAGTCTATGTTTTAATAAACAATTGGTAGATGGCATATATCAGAAAATGGTATTGTTAGATGATCAGCATTACTCAATATGTGTTTTTAAACTACATTGTTAGACAAAATTATTTGGATAAGTCTGTCACTAAATTCATTATATTAATAAATCCAACATGACAGATTTGCTACATTATCATTTCTGGATAAACCATTTTTGATAGAGTTTCAGTATTAAATTTATACATATAACCTTTGTTTTTTTTTAGATATAGAGACAGTATTGAAGAAAGTAGAATCTTCAGGAGATATGGCCAGGAAAGAAGACATCAGTCAACTCAGGGAAAAATTTTCTTTATGAAAATTCTTGTAGTGTTTTATATATGTAATGCCAAATCTGATTATTTATCTGGAGATTTTGAATAGATTAAGAATCAGTATAAACTTTCCTGCATTGATGTTTATCTTGGTACAAGTTATGGCACCTCTATGATTAAAAAACAGATAATTCATGAACTTAAAGTGTATTAAATATTGACAATTAAATCAGATATGGTACTGGCAATATGTAAGACAAGCGAGACCCTGTGAATTCATTTATTTCAATAGAATTTATATAATTCTTTAAAATGTTATATGTCATGATATTTTTACATGAAATATTCAATGTCATTGTGTGTAATGGAATTATCCTAGACAAGGTGCACTAATTTGCTTAGCATAATATTGAAATTATTTTCACAGAAACAAATCTGAAAAATCATCATTAAAAATGGTTGTGTGAATATCTTAATTTAATTTATGTTGTTGACTCTTCATATCAGTGATAAGATAAATTTGTTTGTCAAAACTTTCATTTCATAAATTTATTGGACAAAGCGTTTATAACAGTGAGCAGTATTGTTATAAATTCATTGATATCAAATTTAGTGCATACAACTTGATTTCAAACAACTGTGTTGTTTACTGTAATCTGTGATATGGGTTAATACAAATCATCTTTAGTGCTAAATTTAAAGCCAGAGTGTGAACTGTACATATTCCTATATCTAACAGTTGTAACCATCTTACTAGGCATGCATCAGTATATACTTTAAAAACGATTTCTTATTTTTGTGCTAACTGATGTAAAGTTATCTGACATCAAATTTATAATAAATACTTAAAGTTTGAAATTATCTTTTAAAGATGTTGTGGATTATTTATGAATCAATTTTAAAAAATGGGTTATACATTGTATTTTTTCAACTCGACAAGATATAAGAGAATGAAACTCTATAATTTGGACAAAAGCAACATAATTTATAGTGTTAAATGTGTTACTAGTAAAATAAGTTTAATCTCTAGATGTCTGATGTGGGTTTTGTTTTTTTTTGTTTTTGTTGTTGTTTGGTTGATATCTCAAATGTCCCCAATGTCCTTTTACTCTAATTGAGCTTTTTTTTAATCTAAAGTTGTGTTTTTAAAGAGCTTAAAAATCAGAAATATCAAAAGCTTTTTTTCTGCTTTTAAAGTTTCTTTTTTTTCGTAACCCTTCAACGTTAATATATGGCTTAACAGTTTAAGGAAAGATCTGGCCGATTCAAATGTTGCGGCCTTCTAAAAAGACCGTTTGTTACACTTTTTTATTTATTATTCAGCATTAACATTTTGTCAAAAGGTAGTTGATGCCTGCTATTAAAGGTAATTTAATGATGCTGTTATTTGTTTTCTGTAAGTTATTGCTGACCTCCTAGTACTTTTGACAATTTGGTGCCCCAAAGAAAAGTTGCTACAATGAAATCATACAACCACATCTCCTTACCTTTATAAGAAAAGTAGAGTAACCCATCTCTCAGTCACTTGTTCACAGAATCAAGTAGTTTTCATAGATTTTTTATTTAAAATTTTGTTTTTTCAGTTGTGCAATTTACCATAACGTAAAGTATTAAACTCCATCCACTGACTTTCAAAAATGTGATCTTGTTGAATATTGTTATTTGATGCAAAGACAATAAATCACTGTTTTACAATGTTTGATTTATTTTAACTGTACCTAGTTGACAGGATATGTATTAAACTGCTAGGTCAAACAGTCTAAATAGCTACTGGGATAATAAGAGAAGATTATTTTCAGCTGAAGAATTTCAACAACTGATGACATAGAGAAATACAAAACAAAAATATTCTAACTACATGTACTAGTTCAAACAGTAAAATATGCAACAAAATATAGGTCAAATAGTCATAACTATTGACAAGATAATACCAATTGTAATAAAATAGTTGGTGTTATAGCTACAAATGAAGAGATATACAACCAAATATACTGAATATCTAGTCAAATGATCAAACTACTGGTATAATAATTAACTAGACTAAAAGATCAAAAGGAGTCACAACCACAGGCTAGAAAATACAGAAAACAAGATACTGAACTGCAAGGTCGAACATGTTTTCTCAATTAAATCTTGGTCATAATTTCTGAATTTACAGTATTTTGTTTATGCTCTTTTGGTTACACTGCTCTTGGTGTATTGATCCCAATGTGACGCAAAGCATTCCCGAAACTGGTAATAAATGCAGCAAGAGTTATATATATATATACCTTATTTCATTTAGAAAAATAAGAAGATTCCAAGGAGGCAATGAAAATCAGAAGGATACACACACCACCATGGTCAATTGAACAAATAGGAATAGTCCACAAAACATTTAAAAAAACTAAATATCACTCTTACCAAATTAAAACAACCAGAGTGAACTCAAGAAAGGTAAACACTTCCTTCCTCCATGTTACTTCTGTTGTCATACTAAATTGGTAGTTGTCTCTTGTCTAACCCATAATATATCTACCATGTACTTGTAAAATCTCTACAAATACTATTATATTCTAATTTATAAACTCAAAGAAAACATATAAAATATTTATCAAATAACCACAAACTCTCACATGGGAGACACCACTAGCAGAGAAAAGTGCACATTTTATTATGCATATTAGTATAATAATATGGAAAGTTTTTGTAAATACATCAACATTTAGCAGCTGGTACTGGTTGTGGCATAGTAGTAGTGAACAAATCTGAAAATAATTATATATTATTGTATTATTTATTTGGTAAAATGCAACTATACACTTTGAATGCAATGGCTGGAATTACTTTTAATCACCTAAATTCACTCATGCATGAAACTTAATACCCCAATCCAACCTTTCTATTAACTAACAACATTTTTACATGTTAGAATTTTTTTTACAACTTTGATAAATACATGTATAATGTATATACATTATATGCATATTTTACCCCAAAAAAATTGAAAGTTCTGAAAAGAAAATTGTGACCATTTCTTTCATTGCTTAATTCTTGAACAGATCACTTTGTTGATTCTATTTAAAATAAGGAGCAGTATAGATGTACCTCTGGTATCCTTTATTTGAAATTCAGTGGAATAAATGCAATCAAAAGGCCACAAGAAGAGAATGTATGAAGAGGACGTTTGTTACCCTAGGAATTCGAATATAAAAAAGAAGGAATTCTAAATGTAACAAATAACATCTTTCAGAAATATATTTCAATGTCATGAATGGTCCTGTGGTCAAGAGATTTGTCTTGCATATTTGCTTTAAGGCTTCAAACTGCATATAAAGAAAAACTGTTATAATAGTCTCATTTTGAGATCTTTACGTTAATGTCTATAGATCTGTACCACAGCATTCCAAAAAGATATTTTGCTTCAAGATGTCTTATACAAAACTTCTAAGCAAAAATGTCACTGGTGAAAATATCTTCTGGAGTAAGGCTTTTGTTTGGTTGTGTATACTTTTGTAACATCTTAGTGACATCACAATTGACAAGTCAATGACTCTTGACCAATATTGAATAACTAATTGGTGGAAGGAAGCTTATGGTAAGATGTTGAAATAAGTCATAAATACATTGTAGATATGAAACTTTTTTTTTCATATATAGGCAGGACTGTTAGATACTTATTGTGAACGGGGTTTAAAATCAACTTTATTATAATCATTCTTATCGGTTGATGAAGTCATGCCAACCTCTATTATGGGCAAACTTATGTTATTATTAAAATATTGAATTAGTATTTAAGACAAAGAAAAAGTTATAGTGAAGATGACATAAGGACATGTATAGTGCAATGATCATTACTGTAATGAGTGGAATGCAGTCATACAATGACAAATGAAGTTCTTTTCTTAAAATATATGCTGTTGGGTAATGCCATATGGAACACATGATATCAACTAAAAATTGTTGGTTCTAATAAATTATATTAATATAAATGCTTTCTTGGACGGCAGTGATATGTACCATAAAAGAGAAAGGAGATTTGGGAATATCGACCATGGGCAATTACTTTTTTTTGTGTTAGGTTGAATGTGTTATTTCTTGTTTGAATTTGTATTCTCGTTTGAAGGAAATTTTGCAGTTCGAAATATTTTCTTTTGGTTTAGTAATTTGTTTTATTTCAGACGGATAGTACTGTGCAATTAAGCTGTAATGACCTGCGTCTCAATAAGTCATCGTCTGTAAATGTCATAGAGGCAATTGTTACTGATGTTTATAGTTTGTTCTTATATTGTGCTGTCACACCACTGTCCAAGGTTAGGGGAGAGTTGAACGCCCACAAACATGTTTAACCCCGACACATTATGTGCCTGTCCCAAGTCAGGAGTCTGTCGATGCACCCACTGGCCAGTCTAGCTCCTTATTAGAGTTCATTCGATTCCCTCAATTTTTTGTTGTCACCTTGATTTGTCGCTTGACTAGATTTGAACATCGTTTAAACTACTGCTGTCTTGATTTATTAGCAGCAACATTACAAGAAGTTCACCGATGATAATAGTAGTGCTTATAACAATTTTCTATTATGCAGATCTTTCTCGCTCTCCTACCGACCGTGCCAGATCCTTATGGGTAATTAAATGCACCCGTAAGACCCCCGCAGTAGTCTCTCTCCTATATGAACGCCTGTGCTTTATTCAGTCTTGACAAAATTTATTTCTCGCCTACGTTTTTGGTCCGCATATCAATTATTACACGTATACAATTATATATATATAAATGTTCTATTTGTCAAATATTTTCATATTGATAGGATACCAGTATATATAGATATGCCCATTCTTCGTGTCCATTAAAGCTAGATTAAAATTTTTACTTTATCATTTTTTATGTTTGGTAAATTAAATCTGTTAAACAAATATTTAAACTTTGTCTAAAAACTTGGACCGAGGAACGATATACCTTTTATACCATGACAAGTGAAAGCTTTAGCATATATAGTGAATGAAGTTTATAAACTTTCAATCGGTAAACGAGTTTTCTGTATGGTAGATGACGCATTTGACTGTTGAAGAGAATGAAATCAGGCTCAACCCCAGACTACTTTTAGTATATAATATTATGACATTTGCTCTCTGCGCTCATGTGCAATCATTGGTTCGACATTCCGGTTCTTTGTAGATTTACAACTTGATGATATATCCATCGTTGAATTTTTACTTATTCCTAGAAAAACTGAAATTGCACGATTTAAACTAATAATACATTCAATTACCTAACAATGAAACATCACCTTATAATTTGTATAAACTTTTGCCAAAAGATGCAGTCAATACAGTCCGAGACGTACTATTTTTGTCTCTGATACATTGCTCTTTCTTAAGCTCATGTTGACATATGTGCCGACTCTAAATCAAATGTATTTACTTATACTGTTTACATTGTTTCCGCGTTTGCAAAAAGTCAAATGTTTCAAGCATAATATATTATGACATCAGAGAGGAGACTTAAAAAAAGCTTACATCAGTTCGTTTTAACATAGTAAAAATAAGATCCCTCAGAGCATTTTAATTTTGTATTCTTTGTTCGTTCAAAGTAATATTTTGTTTTTATGAAATTTTTTTCTCATTCCCTTGAAATATATTTCAGTCGCACAAAATATATTACTTTCCGTCTAAATAATTCTTGCTTTCTCAATATCTATTGCGTAGCTCGACATTACTTCGTAGAATATTTTTTATCATTCTGGCGATATGCATTCCCTCGATGATAATCATTTCTTAATCTTCGTAAATTTACCCCAAAAAAATGGCTGGAGTTGACTTTTTTTTGTAATGGTCAGGCAATGTTACTTAATGCATTCCAAGTTTGGTAACAATTTCTAATGAAAAAGAATTGAAGAACATGGGATGATATAAATTAATATACCATTCTATCTACATTGTACCACACAATGATGAATCAGCGTTAAAGCAAAACGTATAAGGCATGTAGTTTTAAGAAGAAATATGAAAATCGCGCAGCTAATCAGGTTTTATATTGCCTTTTGCGGCCATGTTTTACGACAACAAAAACCTTAGGGAGCTGCCATTTGATTTTTATGGGGGGGCTAGGATGAAAAATTTTGTCCTGCACCTTTTTTTAGTTGTCATCTCTGTCCTGCCTTTTTTTTTTACTAAAACTCCTGTCCTGCCTATTTTTTTCAAATTTCATCCTAGCCCCCCCCCACCCCACCCCCTAAAAATCAAATGGTAGCTCCCTCAGAAATCTTTATATGCTAAAATCAACTTAGAAAACATGGAAATGTGAAGACCTTTCACAGATCCAGGAATTGTTTTAGGCCTCACGAATAACATTTATTTGAACAATGTGCTGCTGATAACGAGAATTCTTCGCATTTGTCCCTCTTGTAATGTTACCCGATTTCCAGTACCCTTTACGAAGGAACTCAAAACATCACAGCTGTTGTTTTAATGAGCGTTGTTTTTTTTTCTCTATAGAAATAAGAAGATGTGGTATGAGTGCCAATGAGACAACTCTCCATCCAAGTCACAGTGTGTGTAAAACGTAAACAATTATAGGTCAAAGTACGGCCTTCAACACGGAGACTTGGCGCACACCAAACAGTAAGCTATAAAGGGCCCCAAAATGACTAGTGTAAAACAATTAAAACAGGAAAATCAACGGTCTAATCTATATAAAAAATGAGAAACGAGAAACACTTAAGAACCACATCAACAAACGACAACCACTGAAACAGGTTTCTGACTTAGGACATACTATAGTATACCAGAAATTAAAAAAAATAAGGTTAAACTTATACATATATGTTAATCGAGAATTTCATTTTATCAAAAAAAGTAAAATGTGTTGTTGACAATTTGCCTTTGGTTTAGGTGAAGGTAATCGTAAACTAGACAAATTACAATAATTATTCATCGGAGGTAAGCAGTAAACTACGGTAGCCGGTTAGTGTCAGGTGTAGTTTTATTTTAAAGTCGTTATAACAATTTGGCTAACTTGTTATAACGACTTAGTTAACTCGTTATAACGACTTAGTAACTCGTTATAACGTTATAACGACTTAGCTAACTCGTCTAACGACTTATATAACTCGTTATAACGACTTAATAACTCGTCATTACGACTTAGCTACTTTCTCAATTCCAGGACCGCCTCGTTAGTCTCGTGGTAGCGTGTTCGCCTCGAGTACGGGAGTTTGTGGGTTCGAACCACGGCCGGGTCAAACCAAAGACTTTTAAATTGGTGTTTGCTGCTTCTCCGCCAAGCACGCAGCATTAAGGAGTAAGAGCAAAAACAGATCGGCTCGGAGTCAGAATAATGTGTCCGAGTAAGGTGATATGTCTTCCTACGGACTGTTGCCTTGTGAACTAGCACGTTAAAAATCCGGCTCAGCGTGTCGGTCTAGTACAAAGCATACTACAGCCATCCATTATCATCATCAATTCCGGCAGGACTTAACTATACCCCTAATATCTTGGTCTTGATTTATTTTCGATTGTCTTCTTATTCATAGATTTCTAAATTTTTACTATAAGTGCACATTAATTAGAAATAGAAGTTGGAAGACGTACAACTGCAAAAAAGAAATTGAAGATGAAATACATTTTTTTACTTAAATGTCCTAAATACACCGAAGATGACAAGCATTTTATAGATAATGTAGAACTTTATAAGGGTGTCAAATTTAAAGACATTTACTGATAAATCTATTTTTTTTTTAATTTGTCTTGATGAATTGTTCAAACGGAATAGGTAAATCGCAGAAGCCTATTTTTGGTTTGCTTAGTTTTATCAGTAGTGGAGCAAGGACTTTTGAAAAGGGGTAATGGTTTCATGTTACGTAATAAGGGGAGGAGGAAGGAGCCAAACCTTATATTATACTATTTTTTTAAGAATAAGGAGATAATCAGTAAACTTCAACGGGTCAGCAAAATAACCCCAAAGGTTAGCATGCAAATGCATCTATTGACTTTTTACGATATTGAAAAATCTTAAACCAACCAAATCAGCTGTTAAAAATGCTGTGCAGGATACTGCAAAAACTAACGAAAAATACAACTGAACAATTTATTTTCGATTTGGACCAAACTAGTGTAAATCTAATTTCAGGCGGGACTGGATTGTGGATGCTACAGAAAGAATTATAAAACCAAGTGAATATATTGTTGGCATTCACGATAAATGTCAAATACAGATTTGTTGACATTTGAAAATACGTTTGTTTTTCAAGACCTCCATAGATAATATACACAGGACCAACTATATACGATGTGACCCAAAGAATCCGTCTCTAAAGTCGTCGAATATGTAATCAGCATTCTATTGGATGGTTAATTGGTTTGTAACGTCCAGTGGGAATTATTACATAAATATGATGTGTTAAATGTCCAGTGGGAATTATTACATAAATATGATGTGAAATGAATCCCGAGGAACAATTATGAAAATATTGTAACGGTGGGTGATAATGATCTGTAAAAAATACAATTTCAAGACTGGTATGCTACATGTACCAAGACAAGAACAATTCAGAGAGATCAAATAATGTACGGAAATTCTAAGAGATAAAGGATTGCAGATTTTATATCATGTATGGACATTCCAATATCCCGGCGGTAACGAAATGGCCAAAGTCCTTGCGACAACTATAGCACAGAAGCAAAGGAACTATCACCAAAGAGTAATAATAACTCTACAGGAAGTTAAACAAGGAGCACACAAGAGCACTGACAAAATACAAGAGAAAACGGGACATATCAGAAGGGGACCTTTCAGAAAAGTTACAGACCATTAATCTTATTATCTTTTTATGACTAAACGACATGATAGATACTTAAGTTTATTAGTTCAGATAGGAATTATATGTAGATGCATATTACTCAATTATTACAAGAAACATAGAATTCATATATTGCATGATACATAGAACTCAACTATTACAATTAAACGAGTAGGCCACACATATGAACCTCGAGGAAATGTGAGTTAAACAACAGACGATGTCCAACTTCTTAGACAAAGTTAGCCGATTTAAGCTCAAGACTGTCAACCGCAATCTTAGCCAGCGCAACAATAACAAGAAGAGAAAGGTATTGCAAAGAGAGAAAAAACACCAAATGAAATAAAATTTGTGCGACGAGGTCACAAGAATGAGAATTGAAGATACTAACAAAGTTGTCTATTTTCTCAAAAAAAAAAAGAAAGAAAAAAAATCTTGATAAATTAGAAATTGACCTGTGACTAAGAGTATTTTCAAAAAGCGCTACATGCACGCTGGCTTGTAAAACGCATAACTTATTAGCAGAGCAATGAAACTGACTGTCTCCTCCTTTAACTGCTTTCCTCGCAAGTATCGCGGTTCAAAGCTGATAGTGTTTGTCATCTCATAACCTTAATATGACAACAGAAAGAATCAACTTCATGCTACATTTTTATTTTTCAGCAGAATTATTGGGTGGATACTACCTATGTCCTTTTATAAGCAAGAAAGAGGAACAGAACATAACCTGGTTCAAGCGGTGTCTGAATAGTGTTCTGGGGTTTAAGTGGTATATGTATATTAAATAATGTGACACTGTATATTTCAATAGACCGGATTTTTCTCTTAGCAGACTAGGGTCTTTTTGGTAAAAATTGCAGTGGGTAGTGGTCAGATAAACGATGAAAGGTCCGTGGAGTCTACAATTTGTTTTGGTTTTTTTTTCGTATTCTTCGGTATGGGTTTCATGCATATTTTTGGTACTTAGATTCCATCTTTAACATTAAATGACAAATACTAACTTCAACTTCTGCATTCATGCAGAATGTTTACCACAATTCACGTATAGTCATGCAGATCATTATACTTTGAATAGAGTGTTAATAGTTTTAAATGTCCACTATCGTTTTCAATAGTGGTACTGTCTTTATGGAAAGACAATGGAATTCCTACCAGCATCTTACATGCAAATTATTATTGTTTAACCTTGATACAAAATAAATAGCATCGTCCTCAGTCGTCTATGACTTTTAAATATTTAGGTCGGTGATCAAGAAGAAAGCGGACTTGTTTGATTTTATAGATAAATAATTCACAATAAAGAAACAATTTTACTCAGGTTTACGTATAAAACTTAGAGGGAGACTAAAATGTATTTATGAAATATGATTTTATAATGTATGCTGAAAATACATTTAGCTTAAAATGTTTTACATATATAAATATTGAAACAGTCAAGGTTATTTCAAAATCTCTGCAGATATTGAATTTCTCATAAAGTACTGAAACGTTGCATGCATGATAAAATGGTGAGAAAACGTAAATTTAATATTGTTAGCATACGTGAATGAATATATTATATATGAAAATATCCCCACTTGAAAAGTGACATGAATTGGATATGGAGAATCATTACCCTCCATTTACTAGAAATGCGGGTAATTTTGTTACGATAACTTTCTAATCTTTTATTCCAATGTTATTAAGAACCTTATTGCAATAACGAAGGATTTTTTTTTTTGGAAGCAGTCCTGCTACCAAAACACACGCAGAGAGCGAGAGCAATCATCGGCACTGTCAGTTTTTACCAATCTAATTAAAATATAGATCTCGGATTTCGTTATACTACATATGTAGTATAACGTAGTATAACGAAATCCGAGATCTATATTTTAATTAGATTGAGTTTTTACACACTGACTCCATCCGGCCTGTACATTTCCATTGTTATAAGATTCTTCAAGATTATGTCTTGCAATTTTCAGTCCAGGACTTCAATTCTTGGCAAGCGGGTATTCAAGTTAACATCGAGCATAAAAACTCCTACATTTGGAAACCATACCACTTATAATATTATAAATACACAAGCACTTGTCTCTGAAAAATATTTGTTCCCTATGATATCTTAATCAAGGATACAAATCCTTGCCTTAATATAACAGTATTTTTCTCAAGGACAAGTGCTTGTGTATAAATATTATCAAAAAGAAAGAATAGCAAAGTTTTAACTTCTTATGAAGTTTTTCATAATTCTAAATTCTTCAACTGCAATTTGACGAATAAATCTTGTTAGTGCAGAAGCGATGGCTATTTCAGCTGACGATACTAACAAAAATCCAAGGATTTGTATAGCAAGACTTACTATACAAATCCTTGTTATATCTTATTCAAGTTTACATAATTTAGGTCAGTGGCCTTAAGTTATGATTATTTTTGATTGTTTATTTTACTATCCGATTTGACACACCTGTATTGAACCAATTCATTACATGAATGAACACCGGATATGAATTATTTACCTTTAAGCTGGGAATAGTATACTGACAAAATGTCAATATATTATGTCCAAAAGTAGGGAATACCATACGTTAAAAACAAATACAGGAGCTGTTGATTTTTAAGAATTAATAGTTCACACTGTATACATTTAAAAACAAGGGTAGATGAGTTTTCAAAAAGATGATGCAGTTTAAAGTTGAAACAATGTTTTAATTTTCACTGAATATCCCGTTTCAAACCTCTCAAACTTTCAGGTGGAGACAGCAACGTCATATTTTTGGATGCTCTGGTTGGCTGGATATGTAATATGTACTACACATGCGCGATATGCTCCATTGAATATCTATGTTTATGAATGACTCGTGAGAAAGCATGCAAGCAATGTCTGTAGTGTTGTGAAAGCGACGGAAACGGAAAGAAATAGTCGATTTTCGTGAAAGACTAATCTATAACTCATGACTCGGAATTTTTCTAGCATTAATTAAGTTTCTTACACCCTATCTGTGTTGCTGGACGATTCTTTTAACAAGGAAAGTAGAGAAATTCATTTAAATTCACATGTGTTAAAAGTTATTAATTTATGAAAGAAAAACATATTATAATTGTGAACAAATAGATTCAAATGATATCATGGGACAGAGGAACGAAGAACCAGAGGTGACAACTGTAAAATCTAAATTAGTGGTGGTCGGAGATTGTGGGTGTGGCAAAACTTCTATGATCAATAGATATGTGAAGGGACTCTTTTCAGAGGTAAGCGTTTGTCTTGCTTTGCTAACTTGATTGCATTACATGCTTTGAAATAGTAACCAAGTGGCAAATAAATGACAGTAAATTAAACTTCGACGAGAATTAATTAGCTTTAAGAATTTATTTCATTTGGGACATGTATGTCTCTGATAGGCCAAGGATTTGTATAGTTACTACACAAATCCTTAAATAGACCTATATATTTAGTTCTAGCTAGACCTTTTCTTCGGAAATTTTGTTTAAAATCACGTGAAAGCTTTTGAAAACGACAAAAATTTGACTGGAACTCTTTTTCAAGGAGGAACCTCGAAAATGTTTCCTTTAAAAGTTACACGATCCGCGCCATCACATATGAATCATTGTTAACACTCTTACATGTATTTTTTTTTAATTAACATTCCTTAATTCAGTCGACATCGTTGCTTGTTTTTATATTGTTTTATACAGTAAAGTTATAAAAGAAACGTATTTTTGATAAATAGGAAAAAAGAAAGAGACCCAAGTTTCTCTCGGTTTCTTAAGCTTTTCAAAAGAAAATATTTGATATTTTGGGCAGTAGAGATTTTTTAGACTGATATGATTTAAATGAATGAGCCACAGGTATGCTGATAACACACCTGATCATTTACCTGAGCATAATAAATGTCAAAACGTTACATCAGATGTATACTTAAACTACAGTAAATCCCCACAACAGGTGATAATGTAATCATTGTTTTATGACCGACAGAATATCGTCTGCTCTATATTTGATATGTCAAGGGTGACAGATGGAATGCGAGATCCCGAGATATAATGTCTAGGATCAAATTTGCCGACTCGCCAATTTAAGCCGAATAACCCAGTCTTTATGTAGCGCTCACTGATAGAATTTGACTGAGGGGTTGAATTATTCGAGTTTACTATTTTGTAAGTAAAGAGAAATGTCTGAAGACCGTATGTTGAGCCCCTCGAGATGTAAATGTTTTGTGTCATTGGGTTTCTGTCCTATTGACGTATCCCGCTGTCTTTTTGACGTGTCCCGCTGTCTTATTGACGTATCCCACTGTCTTCAATGATTGACGTATCCCACACATCTTACAAGGGACGGCTAGTTGGTATCCTTTAGAGGAGAGGTGGGCAGGAGGATTTTTGTGTAGACGGAATTATACTTAGTATATTGACCACTATGTCCCATTGCTTATATTTATCTAACAGGACCGCTTGAACTTAGAAAATTAAATGAATATTCGATGGGTTTAAGTCTGTAAATTAACAATTTATCAATTTGGAATCACTTAATGGAAGTCTGTCAAATTTGGACTAACTCTGTTATCTCTTCTATAACGACAATTAATGATATAGTGGGGTTGCTCATAAAACTTTTCACTCGGTTTCGCAGATCATACCAGAGACATTATTTCTTTGTGTATTGTATATTTTCACTAAAACTTGCATATGATCTCTGAATCCTCAATTTTCTTTCTTGACCTAGACAATGAGCGCTAATTCTTATTTTGCTCGTGTAGAATATTCAACATACATGTAGGAAAGCACTTACTTTGCATCGAAGGTTTAAATAATAGAATTTCCATTTATCGCATAGGCTAATTTGGCTCATCGTAATCAATGGAATTATATAATAATCAAATTTTTCGACATAAATAAATATGTTTATATAATATTATTATATAAATCACTTTGGCATTACTTTATTATAGTTTTGCATAATATTTTACAACTTAAGATACAACATAAATTATAATGCCACAAGAAAAAGAAAAGAAAAAGTGTTAAATTAGTTTGTTATCGCAGCATTTGTCTTCGATTTAATGTCATTTGATTCCATTTAAATTAAATATAAGATCGCTGAAATTGACCCAAATTCGGACAGTGCTTGGTAGGGGATGTCATCTATAGGATAAATTTAGATAATAATAGATTAAACCTTCAATATCTATTCACAATATTACATTCACAAAATTGACAAGTAGCACGTCGAGTATTTAAGTGTCAAAAATACGAACAGGTAAAATCTGATAATGATCCTACATTTCTTAGGATTGCATAAATTAAGCAATGCTGAATCTATATCTTTTATTGAAACCTCCCACCTCTGCTTTTGGCACCGGTTATAAAAAGGCGCTAACTTTGTGCGTTAAGCAGATTTCTTGATAAAGTTTGGTCTAACTAACAAAATAATGTTTACCCTCACAAATTTCGTTCACACGCAATGCAAATTCAGATGAAAAGCTATGGAAACGTCCTATTAGTATAATTGAAGTGGATTATACTTACAAATGTATTGCATATATTAGGGCTACTGTATTTGTATGAAACTTATACATTTGAATTTCAAATATTTAACAGGATAACCATCCTTCACGGTCTTTTGTAGGTTAACATCAAATGCATGTAAAATTGATTCACTACATGGTTAATTGTCATTATATATACAACTTCGTTCCACATTCAGAGAAAGTTTGTTTTATCGTGTTTCCAATTAACTGTTATCTACAAAATAAATATACACAAGTAAATAGATTGATATGATGAAGCCTTCCGCTTCCTTCTCTCATTCTCATGTTAGTACCCTTATACGAATACCCAAATGATTTGTTTCATTGTAACGTTAATTATACCACGCTTGTACAACGCATTTGATACAGAAATGGCATTCTTATACAGTTCAGATATTTAAAACGACCTTTTTTCTCAGAAGTAGCATTACTTTTCAAGTTTGAAATGTTTAATTGACTGGAGTAAAATCTTAAAAAAATTATATTTAATATAATGGTAGAATGATTACCAGTATGATTTCGACATGATAAAGAGCGGAGTTGGGTATTCATTAGACTATAAAAAAAATCAATGGAGAAAAAAAATCACTGAGCGGATCAGTTACTCTTTTCTTAACATTTATTCGAACTTGTTTTATGAATGACCGATCAGCTGATTTTGGCATGCATTTTGTACATGTAAACTCTTGTCAAATTCCGGAGAACTAAAGATAATGGAAAGGTTCCAAATTTGAAAATAATACTATATACATGTTTTGTAGGTGCGTTTTGGGTCAGTATTAGTTTGGCATTAAACGATATTGGTGAATGGAATTAAAAAAAAACCCCGAAAATTCTTCTTTCGATATAATTAGTACAAGGAGTATAAACTCTCCGACTCGCCGCTTAAACCGCATGATTTCACACCTAAAATTATTTCAGCAGAGATCAGATTTCACGAAAACCACACTATTCGGCCTATCCCGAAAAACCACATCTAATTTATATCATAGATTTTATAAAAGTAATTTATTGGTATTCCCTTTATGTATCACATAATGATTTTCATTGATACACCGTCACGGGAATGGATTTTTAACACACTTCAGTAATTTAGTATGAATTTTTTTCCCACATATTTTGATATTAATACAGATCGAAAACGTATTAGCTGTTCGGTAGTCCGATCCACAAATGAATAGAAAAAAAATAATATACACCAGAAAAGTTCTAAAAGTGCCTGTATTTTTTTTCCGAAAGTGACCCCGATTACTCCCGGCAGTAACTGGTTCGATGAATACAACCAGATTGTTCTGGTTTTATGATAAAGTTTCCATAACATGCTTAACATGACCGACAATAGCTATCTATACAATTGATAAGAAAAGTGTTTTGTAATCTCAGAATAAATGTTTTGTCAGAATGCCACTTAAAATATACAGGCATTTGTAATTCTTACTTCATCAACTGAGAATAAATAAACGATTGCACTTGAACATTCTTTTCTGTAATCTATTCGTTATCATTTTGATTGATGTCCCAAACATCACAATGTTGTGCCTCTGAGTCCTAATAAATTTGTTCGAGAAAATATTACACGAAATCCACGAATTTCCGACAAGAAATGAGTCGTAAATTGTGTTACGAGATTTTACAAAGTATGCGATTCCAAAAACGTCTAATGAAGAAATTTTTAAGCAACCTTTATCGGAAATGAAGTCATTTTGTACAACCAACAATTTTGCTGTCGATCTTGATTGTGTAGGTGACGGTTTATTAATCGCTGAAGATGAGGAGACACAGCAACCCTCATATTGAATAAAAGATAAATTGTCTGATGACACGAATGTCCCTGCTCAAGCTTTGCAATTTTCCAAGTTAAAAAGGGGCATAACTCTAGAACGGTAAGCGACTCACTGCCCAAATTCGAACTCTCTGAAAGTTTTGGTTCTTAGCATTGTGTATGAGTTTCATAATTTGCATGAGGCAAACTAAAGTTAGAGTGCAGAAACGAAAATGGGACGGACGGAAAGACGGAAGGACGGACGATCAAGGGCAACATTTAATGCCCCCGATGGTGGCATAAAAAAGAATGACAATGAAACGTATTATCTACATGTACTAGTAGGTGTTGCCATGGTTTGATAATTAACTCGTTTGTCGCCTTTTTTAACAGTATGGTTAAGAAATAATACAGCGTTTCATAGACAAAAGCAAAGGTGATTTGAAATGCAACACTTGCCCTCCAGAGGTATCCAGTGGTAGAAATAACTATTTACGGTATTTTGATTATAACGTTTGCTATTCTTTGGAGAAGGTAAAGATTGATGTTTATCTGATGATACGGCGGTACATTATCTTGATTATGTCTGCAATATCAATATAATTTGTGCAGGTTGTAAGAATATTTAACATGTGCCAACAATCAATCCTCAGTTCGGCATACCTCTGACATGTTTCATAAGCCCTGATGGCTTGATCCTTTCCAAATATTGTGGGAAATATTTGTTTTGTAAACAATTTATTCGAAAGAAATAAGAAATAAAAGATAAAAGTTGAAGATTCAGAAGCCTTGCATTGTCGGGTTCAATTCTTTGTCTGTTTGGGTTCCTATGTCTGTTGTTTTTAAATGCTAAAGGTGTCTGTACTTTGTCAAGTGTGTGCTACTTTGTAGCCCTTGATCATGTGCCTTTGTCTTTTGCAGTATTACCGACCTTTATTTTAAGCTGTGTAAATCTAAAGATTATCTGAAAATTTGCGCACATCCACACTGAAGAGTGCATCCTTCTATTGTCATTTAATTGCTATCTTCTTGATGCTCATTCATTATATCATGTGATTAAAGAATTAATCAATGACCACATGCTAAACTACTTTTTTCTACCTTTCAGACATATACAGCAACTGGTTTTGATACCTACACATCAACTTATCATGTATCAGACACATACAAGATACACATGTCAATATGGGATACGTCGGGTAAGTTTTTTCATTATTGTAGAAAGTAAAGATAAGATATTAATACATCCATACGTCATTTCATGTGCCGAAACCCATGTGATTTAATTTATCATTATTGCTATGAATATAACACAAGCAGTATCACAGGCTGAGAACATACAAGTCTGAATTTTGTAAAAAAAAAATTTAAAGCGGTACAAAAACAACAATTCGTACTATATTGAGAATTTTTTTCGTAAGCATGTATTTTTTTATTTGAATACCACCATGATTCATGCCAGTCGGTGTGCTTGTCTGCCAGACATTTGATTACAATTCCTCTATCAAGGTTACCCACTTTACTACAACGACAAGCGATGGAATTCGAAAAGAATTTTGAGCAGAACGTAGTGGTATTCTTAGCCTATCCTTCCCATTACACAACTATTACATATGTTTCTGATTTATAAGTACCACTTTGATGATACTCGACCCATTAACTATTAACGACTTTGATCTCTCCTAACATTAGTCATATAGTTCTACTTGAGTATCCATCAATTACTTCATATTTGATACGAAATTACTGTTATCTAGAAGATAATTGTGTTAATTTGGCATTATAGAATAGACAAAATAGTAATCATGCATCTTCGTATGTCCTAATTATAACTAAATGTCGTCCATTGTCTGTCCCTAATGGATTTTATAACAAGCATTTGTGAATATAAAAAAGGATGTACAGGAGGGTTGGATCCTCCCTTTCTCCGGAATTTGATTTTATAATGATGTAAAAATCGATGAAAATTAAGTAGGAACAATCCTCTTTTACTTGCAGAACCTCCAGAACCATCGTACCTTTTGAAATTTTCTGAATCCCTGCCTGCTTGACAGGTCGCCATTCCATACAAAAATAAGATGTGGTATGATTGCCAATGAGACAACTATCTACCAAAGTTCAAATTAAGTGGAAGTATAGTTAATGACAAAAATATAGTGCAGAACAATATGCACTGTGAATCCGTACTTCAAATATGCCTATCAATAATAAAAACCAATTTCCCATCCTTAGTTCCAGTACTGTTTAACTATGTGATATTACGAGAAGTTAGTGCTGCACTCAATAGAGAAGTGCAACAGAGAACACATGACTAGAAGACAATGATTGATACATTGTATCAAGTTAATTGCGAAGCGACAACTAAACTTCAAGTGAAAGAAGGCATGATCTCCGTGCTAAAAGATATTGCTTTCTGTTACATTTTGTGTACTTTTTAGTATTGCTTTAGTTGTATTTTCTGTCTGTTACATTGCGTATTCATTGTTACGGTACTATTTAGTATTGCTTTAGTTGTATTTTGTGTCTGTTACATTGCGTAATCATTGAAACTGTACTATTTGGTATTTCGGCGATACCAATATGAAAGCGTCATTATAATGCTTATTCTGGACTGGGTTGTTTCGCAGATCGAGGTAAAAAAAAAGGAATGATTGAATAATCAAAAATAGTTAACCCCTACCATGTGTTAACGTGCCTTTCCCAATTTGTTTTGGTCTCTAAAAGAATTTTTGTGTTGCTGATATTTGTTGGTAGTCTGTGTAAAATTATTCACAACTTTTCTGGACTCAAGACGAGTTAGAGGTCGACATTTTGTTTAGCGTAGGCGTTGAAGACCGTCTAGTCCTTAGAACTTGTCAATTTCATTCCAGTTAATGACAGAGTATTAATATTTTAGATGTTTTGTATTTTAATATCGGCATGTATCTATTACATGTATTACTAGACTGTTAAATTTAAAATATCCTTTCACACGATAATTTACCAGCAGACGAGCTCTTCGTATTTCAGCAATACCTTTAATCGTTATCGTCTGCTATGTGAACTCGTAAAACACAAAATGCTTGATTTCTTAATGAAATTTAATACAGCTATTTACTCACTCCCACTACATACAATGTTAAATAAATATTTGTCATGTTGAAACCTATCCGCATTCCACCCCTTAAACAGACGATTGATAATATATCTCATAAAACTTGTGGTTTTATTTTCTGTATATAAAAATCACAGTGTTGTTAACTGTAACGCCTTAAAAACTTCCATCCTTTATGTAAAATCTACAGAGTATAGAATTAAACTACACATGCAAACAAAACAGAATATGGGATGATTAGTAGTTTTCGGCGTACAAAAAATATAAACAGGAAGGTTTATACGCAGAATTACAAATGTATTATGGAATAAGATTTTTGTGCGTCCCATTCAGGTACTTTGATTTTTTTTAAATATATGAATAAAGTAGAAATCAAAAATAGCCATGTGTAGAGCCTAAACACATGCTAAAATTAGATCAGTTTTTTAAGAAGATGACTGCCTATAAAGGTCCAAACACATTTGCTTTCCATGGCAAATTTGCGTAGGACACAACTATGTAAAGTATACCTGTATAATCCTATTAGGTTAATCCAACAAATATGCTAATCTGGTTTATTTCAAACCAGGTCATTCAGATCACAGCAAATCCCTGTGGTATGTTAAAAAAATCTGACAATCCTTAAACTCTTAAAACCGTTTGTCCTCCGGTTTGGCTTTGTACATAACAGTACGAAAGCGATTGGTGTAAGATAAAGTCCACGAGCTTTTTAAAAAGGTTTGAAAATGATAAAAATTTTGAAGAACATTGAACGTACCTGTATATAAATAATATAGTCTTTTTTCATATTTATTGCAAACAATACGTGATCAGATCAAAGATAAAGGTAGAAAGTTACATGAACTATAGAAGAGCATAATTGTATAAGGGTGGGCTTTACAGATAGTTTGTCGACGGAAACATCCATTGACTGGATATTTACAAAACATGTACAAGATTAACTATACAGATAATACTATTGGGTTTCAGACTCGTGTCGAGAACTTCCGGGAGATCAAAGGTTTATCTCACGAGACGGCCAGCGCACAACTTATTTTGTAGAATGTTTCATTTGTGTTAAACTCAAATATGCCATTGCTTGAGATTCAAACCCCGGAAAAAGTAGCTTGCATTCAAGTGAACGACTGTCTTCTCTTCTATTACTCCTCGGATTAAAATCTTACAGAATTTTAAAATGTATTATATTTTTTGGACATACAAAATATTGAGCAAGGTGAATGAAAAAAAATCACCTTTATATCCTTCAAATGAACTTCCATGATTTTGACCTCGTAAATCCGACAGGTTGTATAATAGGTTTTCTGTCAGACAGAAACAGGTGCTTTCCTTCAGGATATTTATGATGTTCAGCTGATAATGATATTTTTACCTACTCAGACGATAACGGTTACACCCAGTAACTACAGCTAATTTTCTGCCCCAATAAACAGATAAATTGCGATCTGCTTACATAAATTTACATCAGCAATAATATATACTTGTAGCCTCAGCTATCGTCAATTTGTCTTGAAATATCAATATTCCTTGTAACATTTTTTCAGAACGGTAGGAGGGCTTGAACCTTGTCCGATTTATGGAGTTCTTAGTGCTAGAGCTTCCGACTTCTTACTTACGACCATTGTCTTCAACACAGGGTTTGCATACTGATATATAATTTGATTGTATTATATTCCAGTTGATCTCAGTTTCAAGTACTCCCAGAAGCATTTTAACGTTATTATTATTATTATTTTGCAGGAGATGCCGGATACAATAGAGTGAGACCGTTGTCGTATAGTGATGCAGATTTAGTTATAATATGTTTTTCTGTTGGAGACCCAGAATCCATGGCAAACGTTGTCTCAAAGGTAAATAGTTATACAATGTTCAACTTTATGGTATAGTGACTAAAGCATATCATACTTAATAAAAAGAATTTGCATTAAAATGTTGAACTAGACAGGAATACAAAAAGCATTGTTGCCTTCATAATAGACATAGAAAGTACACTTTTGAATTCTCCCAGATAGACCATTCTGCTAGAGTTTGAATGGACGAGTTGTGGGAATTTAAGATGTGGCATTTTTGGAATTTAGCTAAAACTTTTCATCAAATTTTTAATTTTAAGCCTGTGCTTATTGAAGTGTTTTCTGATTTCAGTGGATAATCGAAGTACGAGAACATTGTCCGAAACAACCTGTTATATTGGTGGGTTGTAAAACAGATATTCGTCCAGACATACCAAAACAAGAGGAAGGATCAAAGATAGTTAATTATGATCAGGTAATTCATTTATCTAGTTGTTCTTAAACTGTTTAAAAATCTCTTTTTCCAATTTATCACATTTCATTGTAAAGTTTTGTTGTCTGATTTATTAAAATATAAATATTTCCTTTCCATGGCAAATTTGCGTAATTTGACGTGTTTTTTGTAATGATGGCTGGATACTAGCACATCTTGTTTATATATTTTGTTTAAAATCATCCAACTTTATAATTAACAAACAATATATCTTTTTTATTTTAGGGTCTGAAAACAGCAAAGCATATAGGTGCTTTAGTGTATTCTGAAATTTCTTCAAAGACTTCTCAGCGAAGTGTTAGTGACGTTATAGAAGTAGCAGCATTGTCATCTGCCGGAAATAAAACATCAGCAGAAAGTCCTAGTTTACGTCGCCAGAGATCTTTCATAAGACGTAAAAGATTCAGTGGAATGGGAGAGGCTAAAATGCATCTGCGAAAAGAGGCAGCGAAAAGTTGTGTTGTGATGTAAACTGGTGTATGAGGCCATTCATACATTAATTCCTAGTCATACCAAAGAGACAACATGCTCATTCATTATTTATTTTTCTTGATTTCATGTTATTTATTTAAAACACACAAAGAGTACCGAAAATGTAACCGGAAGTGCTTAAGTGGAAGATGTAATAGGTGCTGTCATCAAATTCATTGTTCATTATTTGTGCTTTTATATGATTATATCTTGAGTAGATGTAATATAAAAACAAAATAGTATGTTGTATTACAAAATATTTGCTGTCTGTGATACAAGAATGAACATTAATGATCTCAGTAAATGGGTAGATTGAATTTCCATGTGCAATGAATGAAAACTGCTATGTTAAAATAGGAATGCCTTAAGATTTTAAGAGAGAACTTATTGCTATAGTTTGATCAAGAAGAAACATATATATGATTAGTATTAGAAGACAAGTTTGACAAAACAACACCCATCCATTGTTGCAGATTCGCCTTGCCAAATTGTTTTATTTATTATTGCACGCTTTAATGCAAATATATGTACTAGTTTAACCTCCAATTTATATTATATTTGACCTGGAAGGTTTAATGTTAACAAAATAATAGATTCACTAAAGCAGATTTTGCACTGTTGGATGGTGGAGGTTGGATACCTGTTTTCAATATTTATAATTTTTCACACTTTTTAAAAGCAACTGCAAGATGGAAGTGGATTGTTATTTTTTCTTTGCTAAATAGTTGACAAGGAGGATTTGTTGTCTTCCTTTTTCATGGGAGTTTAAGAATCTTATCCATTAAAAGTGCAATCATATGTCTGAACGTTTATTAATTATGTGTGAGATTTATGTGTGTGTAACACAATTATGTATTGGTGAGAGTAGTTGATTCAGACTGGTGAAAGTAAAATATTGAGTCATTGTTCGTATCTGTCTCATGTTCAACGGGTATATTGGTGATGTTGTTAAAGATGCAAAATTCTGATCATATAGAGAAACAACTAATTCTTTTAAGTGAACAGAATTTCGCAAAACAACACAAATATATATTTTGAAGCAAAGTCTTTCATACGGTTCAATTGACATGAGTTTGTCTGAGTGATATATTTATGAGTGATCTGTACATTGTTATTTTTGCAATAAAAATTGCGAACCTATCTATATGTTTCTTGTTTATTTTTATTAACTTGTGTACACTGAGAGGATACTAATCTCTGACACAGTAAGCCACTCACGGTAAACCCGTGAACCTCTGGAACAGTAATTCTCCAACTTAGATTATCGATGGTAATAGCAGCGATGAATAAATAAGAAATCATGCTTTTCTTTCCCAGTTGTTAATTTTCTGCTTCCTGAATATAGATGCAATATATTAATACTGAATGTTATGCAAACAACAATCAACGCAAGACAGAGAATGGAATGTAATATATATAAAAACACACGTATAAAAATTGCGGTTTTTATCCAACGCAATCACAGGTTTGAACGTTGTTTTCAATTTAGACTTGTTTATATTTTTTCGTTTGGGCTTGTATTATATTTGCCTTCGGGTTTATATGATCCGTTCATCATATTTCGACTCTTTCAAAATTCAAGAGTCTATCATAAATTGAGGTAAATTATATGGCCTTCCAAATACCGTTTCGATTCCTAACTTCACTGAAGAGACATTAATTGTCGAAATCCGGATATGGTGTACACATTTTTGCACCTCGTGTTTGCGGTATACTATCTTTTCCGCAAGTTTATTGTTTACTGTTTGGTAATAAATTATTATAAGATCCATTTTATTACATCTGGTCATACGTTATTTGGCAATCGCCAATGGCAGTCAGCAGGGTTTAAGAACATCAGTTGTTCGACCTGCTAGTCAAATGCGTTTTGTTAAAATATACTTTTTCACTTTTACATGGCGTAGAATCCATTGTCGATCGGATATAACTTAAGGATATACAAATTATATATATACATATCAAAAACAATCGAAAATAATAATTATGGGAAAAATATATTTGCACGATCAGCGTTCAAATGAGAAAATACGATGCTGTTGTAAACATTCAGTTTTCCTCTGTACTGGACTCGCGGTACATCCGGCAACACATACACAAAGTACAGAAAATCACCACTAAAGACATTTGTTCAGTGAATTACAACTAGAAACACATTATAATTGCCACTACATATATATAACACATAAAACTTATGTATTCAGAAACAGCTGTTAGGTACAAAACCATGCCAAATATTCTGTAGATGTTTATATATAAACGAGTAATTCAATTTTATTGATCAATAAACCCAAGTAAGAATAAAGGATATTTGGCAAAATGTTCAGTATACCAGAATAAGAATTGGAAGAATGTGTTTATCTATATTAAAAATTTACAACTTCAATAATGTCTTAAGAGAACATTTAATAATAAAATTCAACCTTACATTTCTTCCTGAATAATTACATTACATGTATGTTTCATTATAATACGTTATTTAGATTGGCTAACAGCAATCTCGCGTCATTCTGAAATTAATCTTAATTTCAAAATGAAATGTAACATTCATGATAACACGAGCTTCCACATTAAAGTGCACAGGTGAATAAAAGAAAAACTTGACAGAAATCGTTTTTTCATGATCCTAGCAAAAAAATGTAATTATGAGTAATGAATGCTTCTTTTGGTAATTTTATAGGGTTGTTAAAGCGTTGACCGTACGCACATTTTTAGAATGAGCGCTTCCGCGCGAAATACAAAATGTACATCGGTCAACGCTTTTACACCCCAATAAATTTACAAAAAGAAGCATTCAATTCTTAAATAAATTATGCGAATCAAAAATGAACACTTAACATCGTTTTCATTTACTGCATGTCCTTGATGAAAAAAGTTTGATGGACAAAAAGTAAACTCGCCATTTAAAAAAGCACTGGGCATCTTTTGTACATCTCGCCAATTGGTTTTGTGGATCTTTAATCGTTCATCTGACAAAAATGTCCTTATTTGACTTTAATTTCACCCTTTTCGTTTTTTTTTACGGAAACGCTATTAAAATACAAATATATACTGTTCCGAGTGAAAACAAAACGAATGAATTATATTTTTATACGACCGCAAAAAATTTTGCGGTCGTATATTGGTATCACGTCGTCGTCGTCGTCAGCGTCGTCCGAAGACGGTTGGTTTCCGGACAATATCTTTTGTATAATTAAATAGAAATCTATGAAATTTAAACACAAGGTTTATAACCACAAAAGAAAGGTTGGGATTGATTTTGGGGGTTATGGTCCTAACAGTTTAGGAATTAGGGGCCAAAAAGGGGCCCAAATAAGCATTTTTCTAGTTTCCAGACAATAAATTGTGGAAAGGTGTATGGATCCCTCTGAAATTATACCACAAGTTTCAATACCACAAAGGGATGGTTAGGATTTGCTTTGGGGAATTATGGCTCAAACTGTTTAGGAATTAGGGGCAAAATAGGGGGGAAAACAAGGGTTTCCTGGTTAATGGACAATTACTTAAGACAATTATAAACCAATGTAAGGGAGGTAATCCAAACACAACGTTTTGATTAACTCCCTTACACCGCTTTTAAATAATGTATAAAGAAAATTTGTATTGTCTTGAGATGATTAGCTGTCAATTTACTTTTAGAAGTTACTATTAAGGAATATTAATTTTAGCCATGATTATGTATGTCATTTTCTATTTTAAGACTTTTATGATGTATTTAAATGGGTAATTATGCTTTCAAACTCCATTGGAAATTTGAATTGAGATTATGACCATATCTTGAGGGAAAGATTTTTTTTGGGGGGAAAAGGGGGGGAGGTGAAAAAAATTAGGGGGGGGGGGTAAAAAGAAATTGTGGGGGGTCAATTTTTTCTCATTTCGAATTTCAGAAATTAAAAAGAAAAATTCTTCAAATATTTTTTTTGCAAAAAAAAAGCGGAAGAGGGGGGGGGGGGTCAATACGCAACAGCATAGTGTATTGCACAAAAGCAAAAAAAAAAGGGGGTCATTTGTTTTGTTGTGGGGGAGGGGGGGAGTCAATTCGCAACAGCAAAGTGTATTGCACAAAAGCAAAAAATTGAATCATGTAACCAATTCTAAGTTCTTTGACTACAGTTATTCTGTGTCAGAAACCTATACTGTGTCAAATATTTAACTACAATCCAAATTCAGACCTGTATCAAGCGCAAATATTGTGTCCTTTTTTGTCCCATCTGTTCATGGTTGGACCTCTGCGGTCGTATCCAGCTGCGCTCGGCGAAGCAATTTATTTTCAGTGCAAAGATCAAATTATTTATTATATGCATTTTAATATCAGGCGTGAAAAATGAAAAAGTATTTACAAAATCTTCCTAGCGCCATCTTCTCTAACTTGATTAAATGATCCTGTCACAAACACACTGGTGTTATTCGGTATATCGAAAAAGATCGTGAAAGAATAAGTAACGGTGGTCAAGCATTGAGATTGGATGTTGAAAGATCTGGTATCGATCGTGAAAGCAAATACATACAATTCAACTCCAAAATCTGTGAAATAGCCTTTGTATCATCAAAATGCGGACAAAATTTGAAAAAAGAAATATGTCTGTCAAATGGTTCAACTTTGGATACAATGGATACTACAGATACAGTTAAGTCTGCCTCATATCTTGACTTACATCTAGAAATTGACAATGATGGTCGGTTGAAAACAAAACTTTACGACAAAAGAGATGATTTTAGCTTCCCAATTGTGAACTTTCCATTTCTATGTAGCAACATTCCAGCAGCGCCTGCATACGGAGTATATATCTCCCAATTGATACGATATTCCCGGGCTTGTGTGTCCCATCATAATTTCCTTGATAGAGGATTGCTGCTCACAAGGAAGCTATTAGACCAAGAGTTCCAAATGGTGAAGTTGAAGTCATCCCTTCGTAAATTTTACGGACGCCACCACGAGTTGGTTGACTGTTATGGAATAACCGTTTCACAAATGATATCGGATATGTTTCTTATGTCGTAACTACAATACCCTCCCTTTTCACGAATGTGACTTACCGAATTAGACTATTTACCGGATTTGTAATAACATAAGCAACACGTGTGGAGCGGGGTCTTTCGTCCCTTTCTGAACAATACTGTGCGCTTAGGTAAAAAAAATGCAGTATTTTTTAAGAAAACACAATAGGCGACACATAACCCCTATGCGAATCATTAAAGAAAAAATAAGTTTTGGATCTATAATGGGTCACATTGCAATACATCATGTATATATTTGAAACAAAATATATTGTGTGTCAGATAGTACAGTAATATGAAATTTATGTTTTCCTTATAAAAAGGTTAAGATTATTTTTCTAAAGGAAGGGATTTTGAAATTTTTAATCTAACATGATCGTGAAAGATCAAGCAACGCGTTATTTTGATCGTGAAAGCAATGCGTTACCAGACCAGGCTCCGGCGCCATAAAACTATTTGAGTAATTTTTTTTTGCTCAGCCTGAGAATTTTCTCAATTTTTTTATTCTCAGCAAAATACACCGACATAAAAAAATTCTCAGATATTTATTTACTCAAAGTTAAAAATATTCTTAAATATTTGAGTATAGCCAAAACCATACTTAAGTATAGAAAAAATTTCTTACATGTTGCTATTGAGGGTATTTTGATATAAAAAAAATACAACTGTTAATAGGGTTATTGTTCAAATTTTGTTAAAATTTGCATTGAAGAACGTCACTAGTCTGCACAAATGAAAATGTATCAAAAAAAAAAAAACCATACACATCTTTACTCAGTCCACATTTTTTGTTTGGTTAACATTGTCTTTCATATATTTTTTAAGGATAAATACTCAATATCAATTTTGTCAAAAACTGTAAAAGTTGAGGTTTCAGGCTTTTTCCGGGGTTCATAATTTGTTGATTTATTTAAAATAATCAATCATCCTATTGTTAGAACAATAAAAAAGTACATACGGTGCTGTGATACTATGAATTTTAGAAAAGATTGAAAGACTTTTTAAATCTAGTGTGAAATAGCTTCACTGCTCCTTTGTTGTTGTATGAAATCACCCACATCTTAGTGGGCATCGGATATTTAAGCAAAAATAATGATGTAATGGGATGCCAGAATCTCAAAATAATTGGAAGCCAACATCCAAAT